GCTCCTTCCCTTTGATACGTTCAAAGACACTGGGATGTGGCCCATGATCCTCTTCCCCGTCATCTATAACCAACTTGAATTTTGGCAACTTGTTTTTGAAACCAGTCGTCACCATGTTCACCCTAAGTGGCTGTGGAAAAGGGTTTTCATTCACTGCCATTTTCTTCTTGTCCTCGAACGTAATTCGTCCTGATTCAATGACATTCTGTAACACATGGTGAAAAACCAAACAGTTGTTAGTCAAATGTGACCATGCATTATGCCACTTACAATATTTTTTACCCCTAACTTGTTCAGGGCTTGGCATTTTATATTTATCGCTCAACTTTATCTGTTTATCCTTATATAGTTTATCAAATATAAGGTCAGCTTTGGTTATATCGAACGAGAACATTCTAATCTTTTTGTTTTCATCTTTTATAGGTTTATCCTTGCCCGACGGTCTAGACTTAGCCATTATAGGACAAGTATACGTATCTCCTTTAATTAATTCGGCCAAACACATTTTGGCTTGATCGTAATATTCGTCATTAATGGTATGAACATCAAAATTTGGGTCTCTATAATAAGTCCCCTTACTAGAATTTTTCATTTGCTCTTCTTCTTTTATTAATCGTTCATACGTAAGCACGTTTGCACTCAATTGAAAAAGATCAGGAAATTCCTTGTCTTGGAATTTCTTTTTCAAATCAAAACTTAGACAATTTTGAGTGATTTTGACAAACTCCTTTTCGGGCAAAGGTACAAAACATTTACTTTTTGCTGTCTTGAACTTTTGAAGGAAACCTTCTGCCCATTCGTTTTGCATTTGACGTAGACTCGCCAAATCGGTCAAAGTAACTTCAGACTCAATCTTATAAAACTGAGTATGGAACAATTACTCCAATTGTTGCCATGTTTGAATAGAGTTCGCTGGCAAATTGATGAACCAGGAGAAAGCTACTCTTGTTAATGAACTAGGGAACAACCTCATTTTATGGTAGTCTGTTACTTCACCACTTTGCAGTGTGAATCGCTCTATGTGTTCTAGAGTGGACACCTCTCCTAAATCGGTAAATAGTGAGAATTATGGCACTGTATACCCTCTAGGCTATGGATATGCTTGGTCTACCCAAGTAGGATATGACTTTGTGTAAGTCGGCCTAATGACAGGACGTACTCCAAAAACCATCTGACCCTGTACTATTTCCATAATTTGATTCCTCAACATGATGTTAGGGTCATATGGAATTCCTACAGGTTGGTTGATAGGTTGATTTGCTTGAGGCCTGATATTTGGTACTTATATGACAACAAAGTTGCCTTGATTTGGGCCATTGTTACCATTAGCCTGAATATTTATTCCATCATTAACACGTGGGGCATTCTGTCCATTATTTAGGACATTATCTCTTACATTTAGGTTACCCCCCAAGTTAACTATATCATTACCACTATTCTGATTTGGCATTACACCATCCCCCAGGTTTGAAGTAGAGGGACCAAAATGTGATTCTATCCCTTGATTTGAACTTAGGACTGGGGAATTATGTCACACAATTGTCCTAACTTGAAAGTGATTTGAAAGAGGCACAACTGGCTGACAAATTTGACCTACTAACTTATTCATTATTTCATTCAAAGTATTCAGTTGTTTGGCCATGTTGTCATAATGTGCATTTTTATTCTGGGTAAATCTTTCCATATTATGAATATTTCGTAGATTTACCTATTCAATGACATCTTGTGTGAGTTCTCCAAGTAATGCACGCATAGTTCGAGGACTCAACTCTGTCATTGGTTCATAACGACTGTGACATCTCTGACTCTGTCCCTCTGTTCGTGGAGAGCTATGCTGCTCCTCATATCGCTCGATCACAAATTAGACTCCTCCATGACTTACTGCTTGCTTATCATATTTGTGAGGCATATTGTTTCACCTTTTGTATCTTCAACATCAAACACCAATGTCCCACTGGACGTGCCAAATTGTTTCGCGCGGGTAATCGCTAACAATTAAAAAGAGATCAGACGATTGTGTAAGGATCAAATCTCTTGAGACAAAGTTCCAAAAAGGGGCGTTTTATTGGCGATGTTTTACAATTAGAACTAAACAGATTGCCTCCAAGAGGCGCAAGCACACGAGTACCGAAAGAAATGTTTAAGTTTAAACTAAAAAATTGAAATTACATATTCTCTATTTGAGAGTGTTTGATTCGAGGTCCTCTTCTCTATGTCTTCTCTTCCTTTTATATTCTATTGATGATTTTTTCATGACAACCGCTTGGAAACTGTTTGATTGCTATATAACTACCCACTTTCTTTATAGTGGCTAACTTGTAGGGAAACTGCCGTCCCTAACTGTCGTCATTACTCTTTGTCGTTCAACCGCCTTCAACTGGGCTCCTTGATTCACGGAATGTGATAAGACCACTCAATAACTGTTTCAATAACTGCTATTTTGGATAATTATAATGTTTTATGTTTGTTAAGATTATGGGCGATTTGAAGGTTTGGACGAGAACGTGGTCATCGCTCTGGGCGATCGTAAGGTATGCTATTCGCTCAGATTCTGGGCATCTTGCAAGCTTGGACGATGATGTTACCGTGTTCGTGAGCTTCCACCGCATTCATCAATAATCCTGTTCGGACCTTTATCCTGAATTTCCAATTGGGCTTCACTCTTTGGACTATTTGATTTGGGCTGCACTTTTAGTGTATCAATACCTAAAATTTCTCACTCCCAACCTATTTCTCGTTCCCTTTTAGATCTGCAATTGATTGGTTTTGATTTTGGTTTTGGTTTTGTTTTCGAATATTGTCAAAACTAGTAAAAGGTTAAACAATTGAAATGGTACAGAAATGGAGAAATCCAAGATTTTAAGCGTGAAAATATTATAGTGCGTGATGCTTTTATTCGTGAAAATAATGTATAATCTTAATAAGATGAATCACAATGGAAGAACCCTCGTCGCTTCTATAGCCACGATCACCAACACCGCCTCTGTAGCCACGACCATCGTCTCCATAGCCACAATCATCGCCATAACCTCCATCAAGATGGCCATAGCCTTCGTCCCCGATCCTCTACCATAACTCCCTATGTTAGATCTATGTTTATCTCTCTTGTTAGATCTTGGGTGTCTTATATAGGTGAAGGCCATGGAGCTGATTGATCCAGAAAAGGTCCTTATAGTAGAGGCTTTAGAGGAATTTCGTTTATAGGGGATATGGAAATTGGATTGGCACTCAGATTACTATTGTCCCGATTATAGGAGATGAGGCTTGGAAAAGGAAATTGGCACTGCGAACCCGATGGCAAATGGAGGCTTCTTGATGTATGGTACCGCTCACTCTGATTACTTCCGTTCCAAGTATTGCTGCTTCACGGCCACCACCCATGTCGACCACCTTCACCCACGATACCTACGTAATCATTAGCGTGAATTACTACTGCTAGATTAGATGTTACAACTGTTGGTCAAATTGTTAATGCACCACAATCGCCATTGCACCTTCCTCTAAGGAAGATCAATTGTGTGGAGAGAGAGAGAGAGAGAGAGAGAGAGAGAGGACAGGGTCGAAGGGGGGTTGTGATCTGGGTAGATAAAAGACAATGTTAAGATTTGATATTTGAAATGTATACTTAAAATATAGGGTTTTGAGTAATTTTCCAATGAATTTGCTAAATAATTAATTTAACTCAAATTCAAAATATGATTTTTTTTTCTAATTTTCATTTCATGTTTAATTTAATCAAATTGACTTAAGTTTTATCCAAATTTATTATTTTATCGTAGTGCCGTTTCTACAATTTTGGAGAAATTGAATTGAAAGTTTGACTATGCATCTATTCATTATTGTGAGTTCGTTATCTTCATTTTTTTGTGATTTTAACAATAAAATTTCTAAAAGAGTCAACAAAAAAGGTGCAAAAGATACATAAATTGGACTATATTAATTTGTAAGAGTTAAGATTAAACGTATCATTAGTTGAATTAATGTGACGTTGTTGAAAATATTTAAAAATTTAATTATTGTATGGAACTCATGAATCAAATGGAATTAAATCGAGCTAAATTGAATCGAATGAACTCGAACTCGAACGATTCCATAATTAAATTTTACCCAAAGAACCCTTTTACTGAATATTCGAAGATTCGGGTTCCAGACCCTGTCCGGCCCTAAAAGCATTCAATTTTATTATTATTATTATTTTATGTCTTTTTTTATTTTTTTATCAGAAAAACTCTTGCACTGTCTTGACTTGAACCTAATTTAAAAAACCCCAAAGAAATTCCCCAGCAATTGAATGACAATTTCTCTTTGGAAAAGCCTATTATATACTCGTTCTATCGCACAATTGATTCTTGTGTGACCGTATTTCAAAATCTGAAGGAAGAATTAGTAGCAGTAGTAATTGAAGAAGTGAAGAAATGTCGTGGCTGCGATCAACGGTGAACAAGGTGGTGGAGGTGGTGTTGATACACTAAAAGTGTAGCCCAAATCAAATAGACCAAAGAGTGAAGACCAATTGGGAATCCAGGATAAAGGTCCAAACATGATTATTGATGAATGCGGTGGAAGCCCATGAACACGGTAACATCATTGCCCAATCTTGCAAGATGCCCAAAATCTGAGCGAATAGCATACCTTACGATCGCCCAGAGCGATGACCACGTTCTCGCTCAAACTTTCTAATCGCCCAGAATCTTAGTAAACATAAAACATTATAATTATCCAGAATATCAGTTATTGAAATAGTTATTGAGTGGTCTTATCACATTCCACGAATCAAGGAGCCCAGTTAAAGGTGGTTGAACGACATAGAGTAATGACGACAGTTAGAGACGGCAGTTCCTCTACAAGTTAGCCACTATAAAGAAAGTGGGTAGTTATACAGCAATCAAGCAGTTTCCAAGCGGTTGTCATGAAAAAATCATCAAAGGAATATAAAAGGAAGAGAAGACATAGAGAAGAGGACCCTGAATCAAACACTCTCAAACAGAGAATATGTAATTTCAATTTCTTAGTTTAAACTTGAACATTTCTTTCAGTACTCGTGTGCTTGCGCCCTTTGGGGGCATTCTGTTTAGTTCTAATTGTAAAACATCGCCAATAAAATGCCCATTTTTGGGACTTTGTCTCAAGAGATTCGTTCCGTACACAATTGTCTGATCCCTTTTTAATTGTGAGCGACTACCCGTGCGAAACAGGTGGGAATAAGAACAACCTCACATGCAATGTGAAGAACTACGTTGACTCGGTCGTCCAACAAGCCGGTCAAGCAGTTGTTCAGGGCGCTAAACTCTTCCAAGATCGCATTGTGAGTTCTTGATAATCTGTTACCAAACCAGTTTCCGATTATCATATTATACTTTTCAAATTGGAAAAAATCTATAGAGATGAAAGGTAAATTAATTGATTGCGTGTGATTGAATTCTTTGTCTTGGGATAAAAGGGGAATGTGCAATCTTGGGTTTAGAGTGATCTGGATGCTTGCAAAATTGGCATTTGATATTCCTAATAGTTGCAGCATTGAAAATTTCACATACTTGTGTATTCTTTTCTGCTTACTAATATTATTCATAGTACTAATTGATAATATTAAAGCAATAATTTTATTGATCTTGGAAGTAGACAGCACAAAGTGTAAAGAGCATGTTATCCACCACAAACATGAGGAAAATCATATTTAGTCATGGCATAATCTTGCTTTAAAATATGCATTAGATTTAAAATTAAGTTGCTTTATGTTTGCACATGTTTTAGCCCTTATTTATTAGATAGTTTTGTTTCATTTTCGAATCCCACTTGTTAATGTTAGGGCAATCGAAATTTCAAAAGCTTCAAGCAGACTGTAAAAAGGTTGGAAGAATCATCTGTTTCTTGCAGGGGACCTGAGCGAGTTGAGTTGATGAGAAGGTGGTTAGCTGCACTTAGAGAAGTTGAAAAACTATCTCAGATTTCCTCTGATGACAAAGACAAGAACAATGAGCTGCATCAACTCCCTGAAGAACAAAAGAGTCCAAGAAAACAATATATGGTTAGTTCAGCAATTCCAGAGCTGTTCTTTCAGTGTCCTTTTGCTGGTTTATGATAAATAGATTAATCTTCTTTTGAGTTTTCTACTTCTTGAGCTTTGTATACCGTAGTCATTAGATATACATGTCATGGTTTCCGTTGCTAAGTATAGGGCTTGAATCCCATATTGAAAGTATGGGCTTTCGATGTGTGGTTTATATAGAATTGGGCTTTCAAATTTCAATAGCTAGCATTTGAGGTATGTGATGCTCCCAAGATCTATATCAATGGTATCATAGCAGCAACATGTCTATTGGTTGCAATCGAGTGGGGCGAATGGTGATGTCGGTATAGCAATGTTCGTTCGGGACTAGTCATGGGCTAGTGCAAAACAGTTCGACGTGGGCACGGGGATCACGGATCATGGTGGATTATCATGGTTTTCATTGCAAGGGATGAGACTTGTGAATTCCACATCGAAATTATGGCTTTCGATGTGTGGTTTATATAGAATTGGGCTTTTCAACTTTAACACTTAATTTTTGAGGTATGTCTCTCCCTGGATCTATATAAATGTAGTCCACACCAAGGTGCCAAGGCCTCTAGGGTATGACTGTGTAAATTATATGGTTGCCGCATGATATTCTAAATAAAATCTCCCGACAATTGTACAAAATATTCAGAAAGTTCAGAAATGAAGCAATTTTTAGTTATTTCTAGGCCATCATCAAGTTATTCTATCTGATCGCAAAATTAGTCTGACATAAGTTTAAATTCGTCATTTTTATTTTTATTTTTTTACAATTTCGGCTCCCAGAATAACTGAACCCCCTAACAAACTGAAACATTGTCAGTGATTTAGAAGAAGCTGTCAAAATGGCTAACCAAAACTGATCTTGTATTCTCTAAATGGCCAACATTCTAGATCATGGATTTTGTGAATAGCAAGTTTGTAGATGATTTTGGATTGGTAGATCAGGAAAATGCCTTCGGGATGGGTGAACTAAGAGGCTTTGTATAGTTTTGTAGTCTTGTTAAGAAAGGTTTTTTTTTTTTTTTTTGGTAACATGGGTGTTCGGGCTAGCTTACGTACACATCGACTAATCCCATAGGGCCCTGAAGTTTACAGTCGGATACTCACCTCAATGGCTCTGAGAGGACTTGAACTGGTGACCATTGGAGAGCAAACCTAAGATTTAACCACTGAGCTATCTTTTAGGGTTGTCTTGTTAAGAAGGTTGATGAATAGCAAATATTGAGATCTTTTTCAAGTGCCATTATTCTAATGGGAATTGGAAAAGAAAAAAATGGAACTTATTACCGTGTGAAATTCACAGAGTGGTGATAAGAACTTAAAAAGTTCGCGTTCCAGTTCTAGTTGATGAATTGGGTTGTAAACTGCACTTAAACATCGGAAATCGCCAAAGGTTTGCCTTGCTAAATGATGAGATTCGGCATGCTTTTAATGGCTATGTACTCTACTTCAAATCTGTTTTCATGTCTGATATTCAGGAACATCTGGTTTGAGGTAAAGAAGGCTAGCTATTTGTGTCTGTGAACGGTCTTCTCACGCCAGGATCGAGGGTGATGTGCACTGAATTAGTTGGTCTTTAAGTTATTTAACTCTTCGCTTCAAAAACTTTAATTTAAGAATCATATTAGCCACATGTTATTTTTTCCTGTATTCATGCCATTCATGTGGTTTTTTTATCACTGAATTGGCATTTATCATTTCTTTAGTCTTGCAGTCATCCCCACTAGAATTGAAGTTTTCATTGATTATTTCCAAAGTTGAATTTTTGTGGTATGTTTGTTTTGTGTGGAGAGCCAGAATTTTGAACCACCATTTTATATTGTGAAAAAAAAAGTACAAAAAAAAAAAAAAAAAAAACTGCCATTGCAATGGTTTTTGTTGGTGTATCACATATCTCATGGCTCAAACTGAACTCCCTTACTGTGACGAAAAAACGTGTTGCTTCTGTGAATATGACATGTTTTCACTTAGGAGCTTTGTTTTTCGATAGATTTAAAGTTTTGCTTACTTTGAGTTAGGGAGTTTAATCATGCAAATGTGTATTTTTATGTTCAAGAATTCACTGTTTGTTTGCTGATTCCAGTTATACGATATATGAGTCAAGTTTTTGACAAATATATTGTTGGCATCAATCAAGACGCTTCACGTAACCTACTGTTTTAATTGATAGGTGCTGTATTATGATTCTGATATGGGCGGTGAACCCATGACTTTTACTGATGTCTTTCTATACAGTCAGGCTTTGGAAGGCATAACCATATGCATGGTATGCAAATTTGGTTGCAATAATTTCTAAGTACAATATTTTAGCATACATGCATTCCATGCATAATCATTGATTCTGGTGTTTCATTTGTAATCTTAAGACATTTTTATGAATTCGTTGCAGCATCAACATCTTGCTTGGATAGTGAAGTTTAACTTTGATACAGCTTACAGTTACTTGGATTTACTTTAGGGAAATTTACAAAATATCTAAATGTATTTACAATTTGCATACCATATTTTGTAAAATTACTTTTTGCATATATGATTTTACTTATTGGTAACAAAGAATTTTTTAGGGAAAATAGAAATATTTACAAATTTGCTATTATAAATGGTTATAATGGCTTAAAGACCAAATTACCCATAATTAAATATAATAAATCACACCCTATATTTTACATTACTTAAAACATTTTACATACCATTTATTATTCTTCAAAATTGCTATTGGCCTTTCATCTAAAAGTTGACTTTTCTCTCTTATATCTTTCTCATAAATTATTTTTCTGTTGATTATAGTGCTTACAATAAGCTATTAACTTTTGTTTAATTTCATTTCTCACACAAAACTATATATTTGTATAAGAATTTTTATATTTATCTTCTTTTCTTAAAGTTTCTCGGAAAAAAGAAAAAAGAGCACAAAAAACAAAAATAAAAAATAATGTATAAATTCTTGAAAATTTGTTAAATTGCAAAATGGGATAATGTTATAAGCTGAACTTAAAATAAATAAGAAATTCATTTTAGGATGCAAAATAATAATTAATATCACATATTATTAGAATTTTCACATTATTCTTATTAGCTTTCAGCTCTTTATGTCTGAATTTTCCTTTTTAATGTAAATAGGTTGATAAGTTGAAAGTCTTGTCAGAATCTCTTTTGAGCTCCCGCTCAAAAGCTGAGAAACACATCTCGGATAACAGGTATTGAACTGCATATGAAAAGATATGTAATTGAACCTCGTTTCATTAATTTTAGTCCAATTATAAAATGTTTTTAATGATTTGATCTCTATCTTTATTTACATGCATTCACTTTTTAAAGACCTTTCAATCTCCTTTATTCATTCACTTTCTTTGGAAGGCATCTGTCATTTGAAGTTTTATGCGACTTCAACCTTCATTTCCTGTTCATTGACAGTGATGCTTATTGAGAATGGTGATACTTATTTTGTGTTTTATCAATCTATTTCCTTATTTTTTGTAGAGTTCAGAAAGAAGAGGCATTAAAGTTTCGTGTGAAGAAAGCAAGCGAAGTTAGTGACACAGAAAAGGTATTTTATTTTTTGGCTTGGTAGGCAGATACGTTCAGAAAATTAAATTGAAGAACATGTCTTTGATTTTAGATNACAGAAAAGGTATTTTATTTTTTGGCTTGGTAGGCAGATACGTTCAGAAAATTAAATTGAAGAACATGTCTTTGATTTTAGATTATAAGATACAAAAATATATAAAGACCATTTTTCTGTGTGATTATGAGTGAGCTGATCTACATCAGAATTGGACATCTTTCATTTACCTCCTATTTCACTGATATGGAAGGGAAAAAATGATGCATTCAGACTCGGGGGGTGTAATCAACCTGACTCATTGTTTGTGTCTGACATATAGGATTATGTGTGGCATATGCTGCAGGCTTAGAAATTCTCGCACGAGTTACCTAACTTGCTGATGTTAAAAGGAAAAAGAAAATGAGGTTTTCTGGCTTGTGACTTACATATAAGGCACAAACTACTGTGAATGAAAGAATGAATTAAATAGATCATCCTGCCATCAGCAAGCAGTGATCTATTGCCATATTGCCTATTGAGTTTTAAAATGTACAGAAAAAGTTGGCCTTTAGAGTGGTAAAAGAATTGAGAAGGAAAGAAATAAAATTGACTTTCAGTAAGAAAGTATTGACACTATGAATTACTATGATTTCGTTCATGGAATATGTTGTACTACTTTCTGTCTGTATTCAGGTTTTTTAATTATATCACATTTCTTTTAAAGCATGTTTAATTTTTCTTGGCAACAATACGACTTCGGAATTTTAATTCTTTTCTGCTAATTTTTTAAATTTCCCACTTGTTTGTGTTTACCTTGTTGTTTCCAAGATCAAGATAGAGTGGTTCTGGTATTTGGTTGTTAATATGCTTTATTATATGCATGTGCGAGTTTCCATAGCTACGTGTTTAATTTTCCACGGTTTATTCGAGCAAATGCGATATTGTCTTAAAATCTCTTTTTCCAGGAACTAGCAGCTGAAGCTTCAGGTCTTGAGAAACAAAGAGATGAACTTGAAGCTGAACTGAAGAAGGTACTATCCTCAGAGCTAAATAAATTATAGCATTGTGTACTGAAGATGCGACCAACACGTGGGCAAAATTTTCCTGAGTAAATGTCCTCCCAGACAACATTTAATTCTCTCATATGCTAGTGCACTTGCAAAAGGCGCTGCTACTCTGCATTAAATGTATTGCACAAAAGTTAGTTAATGCAAAAACACTCTGGTATTAGTAACATTTACATACCTTGTGATTAATCACTTGTTCATTTGATTTCCAAGTGATTTTAAAGATGCGATCATTTACTCCTCTAACCATAAACTTCGGATAATTCCATAAAATGGTGGTGGGAGAGCTTTGTCACATCATGAATAAGCAAATGTCTATGCAATATCTAAATATGGTGTATATCCTTGAATGTGCTTAGCTTGATGAACGGAAAGCTAGTAGCTGAATAGGCATCGACAAAGCTTCCAAATAGTTAGCTGATTTTCAATGAATTGGTCCAGACAAGGTCAATGATCCTGAAAGACTTCAATTGCAAACTCTGCAGTTGCATTAAATGTTTCTCTTGGTTTCTGATTCTTTGTGCTATCCAAGTTGATATCTTTGGTTTAGAATTAGTTTCTTAGAAGAACTACCATATTGTTACCTTTTCCTTTGGCGAGCTGGCATTTTTTTCCCTCCTGATGAGTGGTTGGGTTGAGGTGTTAATGAATTTATAAGAGCTTGTCAGTTGACAGTTTCAATACTAGCTTTGGCAAACAGGTTTGTACAAAAATATTTTTCTTACAAATGAGGTGTTACTGCTAGGATCTTTGTTGCTTCTGACTTCTGCAAATTGAGAGAATCTTTTGAAACGATTTGCATTTGAAATTGTTGGCAATGATTATTGTCATCTCCAAGCATGAATGCTTTAGATTCTAACTCTCTTCAGTAGCAAGTTTTGATTTTGTCTAACCCATGATTGCATTCAATGGGTAATATTTAATTAGGTGAATGTCTCCTAGATTGCCGCTCAAGCTCGCCTTCACAATATGAGGGAAGAAAGGGACCAATTCTATGAAGCTAATGATCAGATTGTTGCCCATTTAAAAACTAAGGTCTGGTCAAGTTCTCGTTAATTTTTTAATTTTTTTCCCTGCATTATTAAGTCTCGTACATAAAGATAGTCCTCAACTAAATATTACTTGCAGGCAATACATGTTTTTTAACTTTTTTTGATTTATGGGTCTGCAGTCTGTACAATTTTATAGGAAGAAGAGCTATCGAAATCCATTAACTCAAGCCGAGTAGAAGCAGATGTTCTAAGTACCTGGATAATTTTTTTGGAAGATACTTGGTCTCTTCAATGTTCACATGGACAGACTAAGGAGAAGGAAACCAAGTATGTTAATGAACATTAAAGTTATCCCCATAAGCATGGTTTCTCATCCTAGATTTGAATATTTTATTTGAACTTATTCTAGTAATGCTTCATAATTTCACTTTATATGAGCATTACATGATTTAGAATATTTGCAAGTAATCAAAATATTTGAACTTTATGTTGTAGCTAGTTTACTGGTTTGGATTTTTCAAGTGATGAATTGCAGACTCATGAAGGCTACTTTGTAAATTTGGTTATTCAACTGCTTTCGGCTTATGAGGTGCTTATTCGACTTCCCTATCAGAATGTCATTTTTTATATATAGAAGCTCCCTTCTAATTCTTATGAATGGCATTGTGAACTCTCTTTCATTAATAATGACCTTATTTCATTAAAAATATATGATGCAGAATGAGTTGAGACCTTTTATTGATCGCATTGAAAAATACTTGGAGAATTTGAAGAGTTTAACTGAAGGGTATTTCCTTTTGCTGGATTGCTTGAACAATTTCTACTTTGCAGAGTGCTCAAATTTTCAAAATTGTATAAGAGGTCAGCACTGTTTTCTAACGTTGAAAATGATAATTCCAAAATACTGAACCTAAGGAGAAGTCTTGAGGAGGAATACCTGAACTATGAAGCTAAGGTAAAGGTAAAAACAATTACCTTACGCTACCAGGATATGAGTTCACTTTTCTGTTGCAATGTAGTTTGTAAGGCATCAGCTTTTACATGTGTTGATGTGCAGAGGAGCTATCCCTAATAAGTTTGCGAAATTAATGCCTCTCTATTCACACCATCTCCTCCTGGAGATATATGTAGTTAATCACTTATTTTTAGTGATTTTGCTGCTTATTTTTCACATCATCAAGTGAGCACCCCATAAGAACTCTGGCAAGTTTACCTAAAAGAAAATGTGATTGTCATTTACTTTTGATACAGATCATAACGACTTTCAGTGTAGTGGACAACATGAGAGAGCAGTTCTATGCTCAACAAGTAACGGTCTCCAGGTTTGATTACTGACTGACTTAACTTATATATTTCTGTTAGTATAATACTGAGACTCCAACATCAAACTTATCTAAGATCTGATTGCTGGTTTTGAGTTCATTCAGTAAAGATGATCCGAAGGTGAAAGAGCTATTTGACAAAATTGCAAAGATAAGAGAGGAATTTGAATCTACAGAGAGACCTAATCTAGAAATCGAGAATCCCCCTCCACGATCAGATGCATCAACTGGTGAGAAGCTGCAGGAAAGTGGTGTACATTCCTCAGAACTAGCTGCAGAGGCACCTGAAGCCGGGAAAGACAAGCAACCTGAGCCACCCAGCTTCAAGTCTAAGCAGACACTCGACCATGAAGCAAAATTGGCAAAACTGGAGTCTGAATTTGGTATATCAAACAGGGATTACTCAGCAGAAGAGATTAATGACTGGGAATTTGATGAGCTTGAAAAAGAGTTGACATCTGGTGATTGATCGGGGAAATAGATAGAAATATTCCATCAAGATGGACAAATGTCGTATTAAATCTTGTTAAACAAATAGCAAGTTGTATCTGTGTATGATCTAGTAGACGATTTTGAACTCCTCAAGGCTTATTTTGTCCTTGGAGTTCACCATATGCTTGTTGACGTCCATTTTATTTATTTTTGTG